GAGATTACTCGTAGTATATTTACTGAGGCCGCGGCAAAGACTTTACCTAGAAGAGGTGACTTCCCGGATTGGATTTCATCGGAATCGAAAAATTTAATAGCTAATTTAAAAGGAAAAGGTCATTACAGGAGTAATAGGGCTAAATATATTTTAGAAGATATCAGCCATAAATTAAGGAGAGACAAGAGGAAGTACTTGGAACATTGTGCTATGTGTATTAGTAATTTGTTCAGTACTAACGATACATTCAAAGCCTTTAGACTGCTGAAATATTTCACTTCGGGTCAGAAACAGCGTATATTTAAGCTTTGGGCACCAGAATAACCCGATAATAGATACTGAGTCTCAAATGAACATTTGGTACTCCTATTATACTAGTATGTTCGAAAGTTATGAGAGTTTAAATGGTAATATAACTAATAATTTAGGCCCTACAATTTCCAAACATCATCGCCGAGGATCCTCGACTTCAACTTATCATGATGTAAATATAAAAACACTACACGATTCTCATTTATATGATAAATCTATTAATAGTAGGGTGACAATTAAACGTCGACATATACAACCTCATCTACCCTACCAGCATAATAATTATTACTTCGATAACAATTTTTCACATCAATATAATTTATTTGATCAACCTCCTACCACTTCGAAAGTTTGGTCTCCATCAACTCCTTTTTTCCCTAATTACGATAATTCTTATTCCGATAATCATGATAACATTATTCATTCTAAACATAATATTAACTCACATCACTTACTTGATCAACTTCCTTCTACTTCGAGTGTTTGGCCCACACGAACCTTAACTAATGCTCAACAGAGTCTTAATTCACATCACTTACTGGATCAACTACCTTCTACTTCGAATGTTTGGCCTCCACGAACCTTAACTAAGGCTCAACAAAGTTCATGCATAGCCCAAACTTTTATCGATACATTGAAAGATCAACACCCTTCTACTTCGAAAATTTGGCCCCCACAAGTCTGTTTAAGCAATATTCAACAAAGATTAACCATTAACGATACCTCGAATAGTCAGTTTCCACAAAACCAACAAAGTTCATTTACATTACAATCTCCTTCAAATGATGCCAGGATTTTCAACCAAACTAAAGCTGAACTAGTATAATAATTAAGAAACTGAAGAATCATAAAGCTTGTGGTCAAGATCTATTATATAGTGAATACCTGAAGACTGACTCTAGTTTATGTGCAGAGATTCTTCTCCCTATTATATCCAGAGTTTGGTTTGAACGGGTATGTCCGAATGATTGGATTACTGCCACTTTAATAAATTTCCCTAAAACGAAAGATCCCAAATTCCTTGAAGATTGGAGAGGAATATCACTAAATTCGATGGTATATAAAATATTCGCTAATATTATATTAAATAGGCTAAGACCGCTACTTGAACCACTTTTTATAGATTCTTTAGTCACGTTTAGGAAAGGCAGGAACACTTTAGAGGCGATTCTATCAGTAAAAATTCAACTAGAGAGAGCATTAATTCGGAAGAGTCAGCTAATTATTGTGGCTTTGGTTTTAAAAAAAGCTTTTGATTAGATAATACTCTCAAAACTTTGGAGGACATTAGAGGAGGTAGGTACCCCGATTGTTCTGGTAAGTTTGTTGGAACTAATTTATAAAGATTATTCAATGCATATTATTCATGCTGGCTGCAAATCTCCTAAAATCCCGATAATGAAGGGTCTGAAACAAGATTGTGTTTTATCGCCTCTCCTATTTAACTTTATTACAAATCATATTATTTTAAAAGTTAGAAATTTACATTCGGCTCAGTGATCCTTAGGAGATTTAAATATTATTGCTTTCGCAGATGATTTATGCCTTGTAGGTAAATCGGTGTCAGACATCCAATCAGTTATTAACTCTATCATTGTAGAGGCAGGACACTTTGGTCTGACGTTAAATAAAGAAAAGACGAAAATGATGACATCGTTTTATACTTCCTCGCAGGCGACCCTAAATATTGATGGTAATACGATTACAGAAGCGGATATTCTAAAATATTTAGAGGCCTATTGGATAAGAAAGGTGGTACAAAGAAAGATCAACACTCTAAATTGAATAAAACTAGGGTAAAGTATAGGTCCTTGATGAAGATTTGGTCATCTAGACAAATATCTATTCCTTTAAAGATAAGACTCTTTAAAGTCTTAATATTAGCTTCCTTACACTATGGTATGGAAACCTGGAACGATAATATATCAGATAACAACAAGATGCAAGTTTTTATAAACAAATGTTTAAGATATTAAACTAGGACCTTTTATCCGCGAAACACTACAAATTATATGTTATGGGCGAGTTGCGATATTCTTCCAATTCATAAAACAATAGAATATAAGAAAATTGAGTTGGTGGGCCATATTTTGAGACACCCCTTGAATAATTTAATCCATCAGGCACTTATAGATCAATCCCCTGAAGACACTGCTCTTAAACCTTTTTTATCCTATAAAAGCAGTTGGTTCGGGAGAATTCTAAGATCCTTGACTGAATTAGATTTATCTTGGGATTTCCTAAAGAGAGCGTCACAGGAAAGTCTTTAAACATATTTAGAGACTCATATATGAACATATGACAAATACTTGCTGAAGATTTATTCTTGTAAAGAAGTTTCCCAAGGGAATCTATATCATTATTGGAACTAATATCTTAGAGTTCAAGTTTCTATTTTAAAGTAATTAAATTCTTTTAATTTTTGGTGATTAAATTAAACCATATTTTATAGGACATAAGTTAATTATTAAAGATATAGAGTTGTATTTGGTTATTTAGTAAATGGATAATGGCACCTTTAATGTCCCTTAGAAATACTTAACTTAAATTAATTTTTTTAGACCATTGTATTTGGAAGATTTTCTTTTAAAATGTCTTTCTATTTTTATTCTACATCTCATTATAACTTATTTATATTTCTATTTCCTGCTAATTTTAAATATGATACTTTATTGGTAGAGGGTTTTAGTTCCACTCATAAATTATTTTCTGGGTAATAGGTTTGTCGGTATCTTGAAAAAAAAATCGGCTTAATTATATGAAGGATAGACCTTCATATAATTCACGTTCGCTCATTTTGGGCAGGTCTGTGACCAACGTGCAAAATAAGATAAGATAAGAATATATTAAAAATCATTTTCAACAACATTATACATAAATAATTAATAAGCATAAAAAAATATATAATATTACAGCAGTACTGGTTATCTTCCTTATGAATACAAAGTTTAATTGTTGGGAATAAGTCGATTCAAATAATTTAGTAATTTCTAAATATCTTCACTATTTTTAAAAAAAATTAATTTTATTATAATTTCCAAATATATTTTATTTTTTAAAATTATGTTTCGCATTTTTTTCCAAAATCATGTGGTCCACCTAAACCCTGGTAGTTTCAATTGGTTTATTAGGTTTTCCATGTGATAATTGATCATGAGACTTTCTAAAATGCTAAAAAGATGTCAATAATTTGATAAAGACACAAGTCCGCTAATTCCTATTGTAAAAAAAACTTGGGCTTATTACAGTTCGTTACCAACTATTTATCCACTAATATTAAAATCTATAATATGGACATAAATTACGATTTAATTTTTCCTTGAAAATAGTATTAAATAATAATTATTTTAGCTATCATCATCACCAACAGCCTCTTTATTATTGGGGCTCTCGCTCTAAAAAAAAATAGCTTTTAGTTAGAGTTGTTAAGCGGCTCGTTTTGAATTGTATTTTTTTTTTATTATCCATATTTATTTTATTTTTAAAACTTATATTTTTGTATATATATATCGTAGAAAAATCTTTTTTTTTTTAAAGATGTTAATATTTTCTACTCCGAACATTATTTTCATGCCGTTCTCTTCTCTTCTCTTCTCTTCTCTTCTCTTCTCTTCTCTTCTCTTCTCTTCTCTTCTCTTCTCTTCTCTTCTCTTCTCTTCTCTTCTCTTTCTGTTTTAATAAAACTTTGAAAAAGAAACAATGTGTTTGGATAAAAATTAAAACCTGTGGAGATAAATTATATAGTGGCAGTGCAGCATTCGACCATGACATATAAATATTTAATAGTCGTCAAGTATCCAACAAAATTCAATATTAAATACGTCTACGAACTTCGGCGATTTGGTGCAACAAATACGAAAGAAAAGATTCAGAGCTCATTTTTATTATGATGACTTGGAGGATAAGCTGATGGATCATCGATATATCACTGGAATGTATAGATTCAGATGGCATAGTATTTAGGTTAAAAACGAAACGATATCAAAGAGCGCAGAATACATCGTATCATATATTTTTTTTACATACATATACTATAAATTAATAATAAAAATGAAAACATTAGTAAATATTAAAAAAAATACTATAGAATACCCTACATTTTCAAGCAGTGGAGCTATTTATAAAATGTTTGAGGCCATATTTAGAGACTCACAATTAACTGATATTGGAAAGGCAAAACGCGTTTACTACGAAATTACCTTACGACGAATACATAAAGCTGGAGGCTGTGCCTTCATCGAAGGAATCCAACGATTTTGATGAGGTTACTTCACACACAAAGGTCTGCTGCGTATTTAACTAAAATTAACGCGGCCGCTCAAGATATAAACATTATTATTTCACAAAAGCAATCTTTCAGTATGATAGATTTGACGATAGACCTTTGTACAAGTGGAGATTGATAGATCTTCGAAATCTAATCTTTATAAAGGAGATTTTAAACCTGATTTTGAATTAATTTCGATATATTATAACCCTTAATTTTTTTTAATTACAACAAGTTATTTAATGAAAAGAAGTAGCTAACTATATTTTAAATGTATGTGATGTGGTTTTAACTAAAAATTACTATTTTCAAATAATGTGATGAGATTTGTAAATTAATGACGATTTAAACAATTAGATTATTTAGTAAACGTATTCATAATTTATATCTATTTTTTTTTTTAAAAAACACACATGGTTTTCAAAGTTTTTACAGTAATATTATTCTCGTTACATTCAATTCAAGCTCAAAAGTAAATAATTCATATTAATTGAATTTATTTTAAAAATTTCGCCAGAAAAATTAATTGATCATAACTTTATTTGAAATCGTGCAATGTTTTTTGTTGCAGCTTTTTATAAAACAGAATTCCATCTCATTCATTTTTTTATACTCACTTTTCTGTAAGTTCAGCGTATAACAAATATTTGGTATATCCTGGATGTAACCCTGATGGATGTCGAGAAGATTATATATGCAATAATGGGAAGAATATGTGGCTAAATAACTGCTGTTATTTTTGTGAGATGGTTTATATCTTAAAAAAAAAAATTATTCAATAAATTTAAAAAAAATTTATTATTAAGTGTATAAAAGGTATTAAGTAGGGTAGTGAACACTGGGCCTAGTTGAGCCTTGCAAAATCGGCAATAACTCTTGTAGATACTATAAAAAAAACAATATCTGAATCTATACATATAACGATACTATATAAAAGAACCATATTTTCTTTTTTTTTTCTTTCTTTCTGAAATTTTATTATTTTTGTAAAAGTTAAAATTTTGCCCAAGCGGCAAACCACTAATTTCTTTTAGGTTAATAAATTTAAAATGCGTTTTTTGTTTAATTATGTGATACGCATAGGATATTTATATTATTCAAAATATCATGGTACTTTTGAATTGACCATAATTATATACAAAAATTGTAACTTGATTTTGGCTAAATTTAAATAAACATTTTGGACATATAAAAATTAGCATCTTAGGGAAAAGAATTATGAATTCTTAGCATTCCTAGATTTTGAAATACTTTTTTTTCATTATTAACTGCCATAATTTAGGGTTAGGGTTAGGGTGTGCATGGTTCAATCCCCGCTAGCTCTAAATTTGACTAATCCTGATTTGAAATGAAAAAAAAATAAATATACCTATAAAACTTTCTCAAATTATAAAAAAAGAAGGGTTAAAACTTTGCTATAAAATTTAATTTATATATGTTAGCGTTCAATGTGTTTTTTTCCGGCATCATTTTTTGGAGCGCGTTATTTTTTTAAATTTTAAAATCGGATTTAACCGGAAATACATTCCATCATGTCTAGAATACCTATCATATGGAATCATAAACAATTTTGCTGTTAACCTTTTGAGTCATTTATAATATATATTTAAAAAAAATATAATGGAAATTTTAATAATAATTTTTTTTTATTAAGTTTAAAAGTTCGTGGAAAAAATTGTCTTAAATTCATAGGGTATCGTTAACTAAAATATACGCATAGAATTGTTAATTATTACCTATGTGCTTCAAAAATTCAGTTAAAAGGGTATAAAGAATTAGATTGCAAATGATAATTTTTTTCAACTAACTCATGCCTAACACTATAAATATAAACCTCACTCCCACGAAAATAATGTAAAATACATATTATTATTTTTTGTAGAATAAGACATTGACAAACGTCACCGTATACGTTCACAGATACAATAACGATGAAAAATTTGGAAAGGTATTCAAATGCGGACACTACGTGCCAAGATGGGCAGAATATATTAGGGGGATTGTCCGTAAAATTAGATTACAAAAATTACGGTATTCACTGCCATCTATTAAGGGAAAGCATTATAAATAAGGAAAAGGGAGTAACGGGCCCCCATGCTGATTCGCGCAGATTTAACAAAAAGGTATATTTCAATATTTTATAATTACTAAACTATCAATTATCAATATAATTATTATAAACTATTATTTTTTACTATTTATGTATAATTTACAAGGTAGATATGAAAACCATGGCGGTGGGGGGGGGGGGAGGTTAGTCTGACTCTCTTAATATTTATATTATATTTATTGTAGGTATAGTGTTGTTAAATGACCCGATTTGGGAACTAATTTTTCGAAGTTATATTATGTAAGCCTCAAGATTTTGGTAAATTAGAAGAGACCAAGCCTTTCTGTTCAATCTATGGACAAAATATGACTTAATAATATTATTTTTGGCTAAAATATTCTAAATGAGGGCCATTTTTATTTTTTGAAAGATCTGATGAAACCGGAAATGTGTTCCGATGAACCAACACTGTAAATTTCGGACACTTTTTTTGTGGTAAACTTTTGCTATTAATTTTTTTTTATCGAATTTTTTCCATGTAGAATGAAAAAATTTAGCAAATGTTTAACACGCTGAAATGTGTTTCCGGTTAAATAGGTTTTTAAAAGAAATTTTAAAAATCTTCCTCGGGGAAATGAAAGTAAATGTGAGAGATCTTGAATCCCCAATGGATTCCATATTCCAATGACTACATAATTTTTATATTTTTTTAATTCTTAGGTGCATAAAAAGAGGAAGAACGCCTTGTAGATTGTCGATGACTAGCTAGAAATATAAGATATGCTGATACAAACACCTTAAAACAACCTTTTAATTTATGCTTTTTTTTGTTTTTTAATAATGAGTTTTGTGTATGTTTTTTATTGATACAAAGTTTGTTTTTTTAGAGGTTAAAATTTTTATAAGCGGAATAAAATTAGGTATACTATTTATATTTAATATTATAGTAGTTAGTTTTAATTTTATCGACGTCGTTTGCTTTCTTTCTTTCTTTCTTGGCATACTCTCGGAAATTTCCTGTAGTATTCCCTAGGTATTTTTATTGAATGGGAAAAGTAAATATTACCAAAATTCACAATTTTTTTAAAATTTATATTTTTGAAAATCATTTTAAAATGAGTGAGCCGAGCCTATTCCCATTTACAACATGGGGGATGAGCTGCACTAGGACTAAATATATTTATAAAAGTTATATTGACATTATATTCATAAGGTTAAAACGTTAATAATTTAGAAATTAAAGGGACTCAAGATAATAATTATCCAACAAATTGCCAAGCTTAACACGAAAGGATGGGGAATTAATAAGGATAAATAGTTTAGATAAAAAATATTTCAACATAATATTTTTTGATAGAACCCTTAAAACCCAAATTCTGGTGATGATAATTTTCAGGGGTATATTCATTACTTGAAATCTGATGATGTAACACTTTCTTTAGTACCTGACGCAATACTTAATATTAAAAAAAATTCTGTTGATAAAAAGGCGAAAAGGATTCTTTTTTAAAGAATTACATTTTTCTGCAATTCTATTGGATACTAGATTTATAAGATGGCCTTGATAATATTAAGATTGGACATGGGATCTCAATTAGAGGTTGAGCGAGCCTAATTTTTTACTCAGTGTCCCGCCCCATCATGGTAGACAATGTTTTGATCCACCATAACCCCCAAAAATTAAAGGTGTTTTTAAAATTTTTCAAAACTTTTTTGCTATACATTTACTTCTATTAAGAATTTATTCAATCATAGACATCATTTCTGTTAATTCTTATATTGATTTAACACAAAATAGTTACAATTTGTAAATCAAAATTTTTTAAATTTAGAAAAAGAAGAATGTCCATATTATTTTTATATTTCAATTGTGTTCGACCTTCCTCTAATAAGCGATTTGGCTATAGAAAATAACCTTTCACTAGAAGCCGACCTTGCCGGGGGGGGGGGCAAAATTTTAGCTAATTTTCTCAAAACTATTGTCAGTTATTTTTTTTTTGGGCGATGAATCTCTTAAGTTCATCCTCGCAATTTTCATCGGTAGATGTTGATGCTTCATCAGAATCATCTAGAAATTCTTATTTAATATAATATTCTAATTACTTTTAAAAATTCTTTTTGTAATATTATCCTGTTTTAGATATTAATGAATATTAATTTATATATTTCTCTACATATTGTTCCATAAAGCCAAATCTTATTGATAGTTAGAATCTAGTATCTATATTACATTGAGCACAAATTGAGCGTTTGCGTTGTTTTGCCGTACTTTATTTTTGTATTCCCTTGTTTTAAATCGAGATTTCCCTTTTATTCAAAATATGTTCCAAAAAAGAATTTGTCTTTTAAAAAATTATATTATCGCCTGCCTTTTATTATTACCATTTAAGATGTAAGTTATTTATTTATTTTTTTTTACTTTTTACTTTTTTATATAATATTACAAAATGGAGATGCCAAACGATAATTTTATCCAATTTGCACGATGCCATTTTAAAACGCTCAATTTGCGCATACTATTAGAGGGCTCCTCACGCGAACCATCATTTACACTCCCAAGGTCTACAAGTATTTTATTTTTTTTCGATTATGCTAAAACAGTTTTAAGATAAACTTTGTCCTGACAATAGACTTGTGTTGTTAAACGCGGCTCTATTCGATCCGATTTTTAAAAATAGCTAACTCAATATTTCAGCCAGAAAAATATTCCCTAAACCTCGAGATTTTGATAATATATGTCTAGGATCTTTGTTCCTTCTGTGAACAACATCTTCAGGCTCGCGAAATATTTTTCTGGGTGAAATATTGAGTTAGCCGTTTTTGAATATCGGCTCAAAACGAATCAGTTTAACAACACGAAATAGACATAAATAAGCTATCACCGCAGTAGAGGTATTCTTTCCTGAATTTTTTATTTTATTTTTCCTCGAAAATGTAAATATTGTAATAAAATCAGAATGAAAAAATGTTCTCAAGCCTTTGCTTCAAAATTAAGACGATATTTTTCAGCTTTCTTTAATATGATATTGGACGCAACAATTAGAATCGCGTTTTTCTGTCCTTTGAAATTTATTATTCGTGATGAACCAAGAAATCGTGCAATTTGAATTAAACTTTAGGAAACTTCAACCCGAAAAATCTTCCACTTGAAAAATTTTTTTAAAAATAAAATAATGAATAATTTTGGACGAATCAAATTTCATATTTGAAATCAACAAAACAAAAATATATAAAATTTATAGGCCCTTTCAATATCCTTGTAGATCTTTCTAAAAGGGTCTGATCTCAACTTTATAATATTTTAAAAAAAAAGTGATTTCTATTATATTTATATAGCAGGAAAAATAGTTTTATATTGATTGTTACTCTATCTATCGACTGACTGAAGATATTTGTTAAGGGGATCAAGAGCTATTAAATCATACATTATAATGGCTGATTAAAAATAGACCAGAAGCTTGTAGTGTTAAATTTATATTAAAAATAAAATAAAATTATAAAATTTTCGTAAATAATGCGTTTTTAAGTGACCAGTCTATCTCTGATCTAAAGGTCGTTCTAAGAATATGAATGTTATACGGTGCCTTTACTAAAAATTAAAAATCGCGGTAAGATCTTTTTATATGAATGTAATGTATCGTTTAAGTTCCTTTTAATGTGAAGTAACTGTGAACTGAAAAAACACATTACTCATCTTTAATAAAATATAAAAATTAGATACATTATAAAGGAATGATAATTTGTTTAATCATTAATAGGTATAATTAACCTTGGAGCATTTCAGGCAACTGGTACAAGCATCAAACTTTTTCGATTCATATTCCTAAGCAAATTTTATCTCTATCAACTCTATATTAATGAGAGGGGGGGGGGTTATGAAATATTAAGGTTAGATTTCATAATGCTACAAGAGACAAATCATCTTTGATAAATTATAATTTTAAAACAAAACACCATTAACATGCCATTTAAACCCCCTACCCAAAAAATGGATGACATTAATTTACTTCAGGAGTTTGAAAACCGGAAAACTAGGAACCTCGTCAAATCTAAATCCAGAGAACCAGATAACTAGAACTCGACCGATTATAAAAAAATCTTCAAAGGGATTTATTTATTTATTTTACATCTCTTCGCCTGAGTATTAGATTATTCCATCTCCACATTTTATCAAAAATGGCTTTTTTTGCATAAATCAATAAGTCCAAATGATAGCCAATGTAAGGTTAGCAATCTTATCAAAAACAATATATATATATATACTTTAATTTCTAAAATTGCTCTACTGTATAATTACAAAAAGTGGAGATGGAATAATCTAATTCTCAGGCACGATTCGTAATATAAAAAAATTTATTTATCGCTTATTAAATAAATTTTAGAGAAACGGCATGAACCGCGCCAAACGTAAAAAAAACAGAAAGCATAAGACAGTGAGATTTAAAAAAAAAAATAGAATATTCCAAGGAAAAAAAAATAATTGCAATCGATCAAGAATAGCCAATGACATATAATAATATTTAGACTTACTATGCATTCATAGTAATGCATTAGAAATCGTCGTTAAATGCAAATCAGCTGGACCCGCCATTTTGACAACCCATATAGTGATTATTCTCACGTTAAATATTACTATTAAATTGTTAACTTGCTTCCTTATTATCTCGATGAGGCAATTCTTTAATAAAGTTTGCGTCAGACATAGGAATAAATTGACCTCTCGTTTAAAATTCTTAATAAGGATATGGGTAATCAAGATGGCATTCCCAGCTGTTTCCATTGATGTACACTTTTAATGAATGCATCGTCAGTCTAGATATTATATGTCTTTGAGAATAGCTTATGATATTCGCATGAATAGTCAATATTCGAATTGGTATAGTAGTCCTAACTTTAAATAGTGTTAAATTCATTTTTTTTAAAGATCAAGTTTTAAAAAAAAATGATTGATAGGAAAGCAAGTGTGCCAAAGACTTAGAAGCATCTCCGATAATGAGTCCCATAAAACAAAAATCTTTAATACTGGAGCGTATATATTTAGATAGAAATTCTCCAGAAAAATGATTGACATTTTGTTTAATGCCATCATACTTCTTTTTTTTTCAATATCTTCAAGATATATAGGCCCTGATACTATCAATGAAACTTACAGCAGAGTTTGTTTGAATTCCGCCATTTATTCACTCTATTAGTATTTTAGATTTTGACATAAATTTGGTGATTCCCTTTAAAATAGACTAAAAGGTAAAAGGTGTTACTAATCCTTAATTTATGTTTTTTAGCCTAAAAGCTACATTCTATTTAGATAAGCTGTTTAGAATTATTCATAGAAATAGATATATATATAAAAAGACTAGGCTAGAGAGACATAGTCTATCGAAGTTTTAAATAAAATATTCTATTAATATGCAATTTTACCTTATAATTGAATGTGATAGGAACGATTTATGCATATATTTATTTTAAACATTCAAAATTGTGTAATATTTCACTTTCTAATAATATGAATTATTATCTCTGTTTTGTCAAACAAAAAAAATGAAAGCTTCATAATTACTTTCAAATTTTATATAATAATTTATATATATACTAACCTCGCTTAGTCCAAAATCCTACCAAAGACAATCTAAGTATAAGCAAAAATCTTAAATCTAAGTAGAATAATTCTATATAACTAAAATTTTGTTTCGGATCTATTGATATAGTGTCAATTCATCGTATCAAAATAGGCAAATCAGTCAGCAGAGGCCTGCGGGGGCCTCGGACTGGCTCAATTTAGCCATGACCTTGGAAGCTTAAGAGACCGGGGACGGAATAATAAATAAAACGCTAAATAGTTCGATGAGAAATAATGAGGGAAAAGTTGTAGGGAGGAGGGCGAGGGGCGGGGTAAAGTTGAAAATTAAAAAAAAATAAAATAACACTCACTACTTAACAATTGCAGAGCGATTTAGATGTCGTCAATTTGTTACCCTCTATTTCATACTATTGAAATAATATATGAAGAAATTGTATCACCTAATTCAGACTAACTCCAATAGGCCTGATTATCCCTTAAAAAATTGACTTTAACGTCTAAGTTTAGCCTCAACTTAATGATAGAGACTATTATTTTTTTTAGAATAAAAACTTGGTTAAACCGTTTTCAGAGCCGGCCAAAGTTAGATGATTTAACAACACTAATTATTCATATGTTGCGACTTATATATGTGACATATGTCAAAATAAAAAATTAAAATTTTTTGGATAAATTATTTATATATATAATGTAATTACACTCTTGTAAAAAATTTCAGAAAGATTACAAACATTATGTGATAATGGGTTTAAACGGCTCGATTGTAAGCCGATTTTTTAAATAACGGGTAACTCGATATCTTATCTGGATAAAATATAACGCAGGCCTGAAGATTTTGCTCATAAATTGAAAATATTTTGACAATTCTATTAGCGATTTGAGTACTAGGACAATATTTTTCTGGGCTAAAATATGAGTTTACCGTATTCAAAAATAGGCTCAAAATACAATTTATTTTTTGCTATCTTGGTTATTGGAAATATAAAATAATTAAATCTCTTTATTTTTGGCACAATAATGTAATTTTTAGCTAGCGAAAAAAATATCAATTAATCCTATTGAATTTGAAATCGATAAGAAATGGTGCTAATTTTTTTTTAATATACGCACATAGATATTGTATATATAAAGGAAATTAATTTTTTTTAAGGGAATAATAATAAAATTCAAATACCCAATAATAAATATAATTTATTTAAACATGAATATATTCCTATTATCTTTCTCTTACAAATTTATATATTAATTTTCTAAAACAAAAATTAAGATATCGCAAATAATTTAAATGAATTACACATTTCACATTTATACCGATAGAAATTCTTCAACGAATTTCTCAGAATCTATTCCCTATCCTAAAATTCTGTCAATCCGTCTCATTTTTTCTAGCATAGTCTGCGTGCTGACTACCCTAGGAGTCCTAGGAAACGGTCTAATTATTTACGGTTTACTACTAGGAACTAAAAATGCCTACGGAAAAACGCTGAAGTTATTCTACCACACCAATAGTAGGTATTACCTGATCTGGATATCCCTTATAGGTATAGGCGTATGCATCCTAGCCGCTTTCAGGGCTTGTTATATCTTAAAATATCCCATCAACTGTTTTACCAAAGAAATGAGCGTGTTGGAAGCAATTTTCGTCACCAAATTCAGGCAAGTTTTTATTTGTAACGTCTTGTTTTTATCCCATTGGTTCATGGCAGTGATGTCGGCGAGAAGCTTCATCGCGATTAAATACCCCATTTTTTATAGGATCAAATTTTTGGACAAGGAATTAAATTTAGACATCTTCATCATGGTAATCTTATTGGTAGTTTCCTTCGTAACGTCTTTCCCGTTCCTTTATGACAAGCGTATTTATCCTGTCAAAAGTGGTGGTGGACACATTTTGAAGGACAAATACTTTTTTACCGAGAACGAGAAATTCAAATCCCTCTTCGACGTGTACTATAGAATAGAAATGGCCATCTCCATCACGATACCTTGTACATTAATAATGGTATTTAATTTGATTACCTGGTATCTGATGTACAAGAAAGGCAGATATAATATAGCGAATGGTATCCTTCTTGGTAGTAGAAATTCTTCCGTAAAAGCGCCCAAATTTAAAGTTACGTCTAATGACAATTCCGGTGGTATGCTTATTGATAAAAATTCTTCCATAAAAACTTCAAGAAAATTTAGGATGAGGTCTGAGAACTTTGAAATCGTTAACTTGAATTGTAAATCTTCAAGTTCAAATCACGTTCAGTCTGAAGAAAATAAAGCGACAAGGTTACAAAGTTTTGCCGTGATGGCCAGCTTATTAACTACGATCACATTCCTCTTTTCGTTACCGATTACTGTAATGACATCTCAAAAAAGTGAGCATAAACTTTTTGACATCAACTGCTATTCCCTTTCTTACATGCTGGCGTACATATTTCTAATTCTTAAGCA